GACATCAGAGATTGATAGTGAATAGAGTATTGGACTTAAGACTCTACCTTGTGGTACGCCAATGTGTTGAGGGAAGAAAGAGGAGTCAGAAGAATATACGGAAACACAAAAAAAAACTGTTAAAAAAGAAGGATTGAAAAATTAGAAAATAAGTAGAAAGTAAGTGCGGTTTTAATTCCCATAATAATTATCCACCTTAAAATTATTTTCTAATTTAGCTATAATGCGCATAATAGACTAAATAAATAAATATGGATCAGAATGGTGGCTATAAGTAGAGGATTATACTAAGCTGTTAGCAATATGATTCGACAGAGACCGAAGCAGATATTAAAATAACAAAAGGGCAGTGGGATTTCCCACTAAGGCGCTTCGATAAAAGACATTTTCGAGGAAAATTAACGAGATTTCACGGGTTTGGTCAGGACAGGGGAAATTAGGCAGATCAATGGCTAGGTATTTTGGTAAGCATTTGGGCCGCCGAATCAACTCCCTTTCGAGAGCCTTCGACCGAAAAATAATCTCTGAAGCTCCCGATATCTTCTGCCACCCCGCTCTCTCTCTTTCGGCTTTGACCTCGCCATTAAATATTGGTCTCTTTGAATGATTATTAAGCTGAGGGAATAACGATTCTCCTTGAAGTTCTAAGGAGAAGTTAATTCGAACTTTTTTTTTTTTGGCTCGTACGAAGTATTTCCTAATAGATAGATATTTTATTAAAGCTTGAAAAATTGATTACCAAACTAATTAATATAAAACAGTGACAAGCTAAAAAATAATCATCAAGTATTTTAGACATAAATGAATAACATTTAATATATATGTGTACCTATATATACAGTTAACCCACCAATGTTACGCCATTTTGGACATCATCAGGACAGAAAAAACAAGATAAGATAAGATATGTGTATGAATAAATACAAAAACATTTATTATCATACCTATCCATCTAATTAGATAATGAAGAAAATGGAAGGTCGTATAAGCACCATAAACGCAGGTAAAATAAAATAAAAGTAATTATTTTATATCGCATATTGATGTAATGGCTCTTTTATATTAATATTCCTTGTACAGTAGCCACTATGCACTATTTATTTTTTTAACATAATTCTATAAAATTATTTTTGTGAGTTTTTTGTACACTTCATTTTTTGTTCTCTCATTCCATCTGTTTAATTTAACATTCCTCTACTGCGCATGTGTAACCTCCCATTTGGTATAGCATGGTGTAATGTACAGTTTCAGGTAAATGATTTTTTTTTTCTGCATTTATATGACCTGAATTGTTGAAACGTTGACAAATTTATTTTTAACATGTTAGATTCAAGTCTTAAGGTTTCATATTTTCACATGAAAAAAATATATGTTTGGTTTTAAAATGTAATACTATAACCCATGAATATTCTTGGATTTGGGATGTGTGCAAGGAGATGATTTGAGATCAAGCGCAACCGCTTATTTAGTTATTTAATTCAGGGTACCTACTTACTAAAGGCTGAGTGTGCCCCAAGAGGGTCTTATGAGGGTGTCGATCATCGCCAGACAAAACAGAATAAATAATTTATCTGGCATCAGCCGGGCTAGAACCTGCGATATTAAGCATTGGAAATTAGAGCCATGCTACCACTGAATTATTTGTTATTTCTTCTATGGGGATCCATTATATGCAATATATAGATCGTTTTCAAAAACACATGAAAGTTTGGATTGTAAGAAAAAAATTTCTATTCAATCATTACCATGAAATATTCCGCTTTTTACTGTCATTAGTAATCTTTACATTGCGTTACTTTTTACTGTTATCAGAAAACCTCCTCATACATTTTCTATTTTTTTTATCTATAGGTGATATCTGGAACCTGACGCCATTGTTTATACTAAGCCTCATTTCTGAGGTAAAGTTTAATAACGTTGGAGAAGGCTAAAATCAGGATGGATAAAGGCAACAAGTTTAATAACTTAGCTGATAGTAATAATTATGGCTGCTGAGAATAGCATTTGTTATTCCTCTTGTTTCTGATGAGTTGTAGGTGATACTTTAGGAACTGATAGTAGAAGTTGTTTAAGATGCACCGTAAGCAAAGTTACCTTGTTATTATCATTATATTATTTTTTTTTTAAGTTTGAACTATAGTACCATGATTCCGATCTATAACTCCGATGTATGTAGACGATATATGCTTGTTCGAGGTATAAGCTAATGCCCCTAGTAATGGACTTCAATTTATGCCTGCTAGTCTTAATTGAATCTCAATTGACTTTAAAAAAAAAATATTCTATATTGAATTAAAGTTATTTATTTATTTTAAATTTTATTTATGCTCTCACTTAAAAAAACACAACATTATAAATTCCTTTTTTTTTTTTTTTAAATGAAGATTATTGAGGACCCTTTTACCCACCAGGGTTGGTGAAAATGTCTGTTTTGCATTGTTTACTATTATAATTGTTAATTATTTGCTAATGTATTTAAATAAAACAGATCAGAAACACAAAGCATAGCTATACAATAACATAGCGCAATTAAAGTAATGAACTAAAGTCAGTAATGCGGATAACTGAAGAGGATCGCTTATAGTTCCAACACGAACAACTTTGTGGTCTCTTGTTTACGAGACTACAATGCAGTAATGGTCTGTAATTAATACAAGCAATTTCAAAGCAATTAAAACTAAGATATTACTATTCTAATGAACTCTAATTTATTTTAATTTAAATGTAAATATCTCTGCCTCTGTTACGTTCATTTATAATCTGTACGATTATTTACATCCACAAATCTTGAGGATTATTAGTAAATCGTAAACAAATAACATTTACACTATAGAGAATCACATTAAATAAACACAGTTTATACAGAGCAACTAACAAATTCTTTAGCACTACCGTTTTTATCAATTAATTAATAGGTCTAAATCTCATTGTGACTTCATCTTATCGTAACTAAAACTATTTTATTTCCGCAAATTCCCAGAAATTGGATATTTTGTCTTTAAATTAATTAATTAAAATGAGATACTGAAAACTCATTAAAAACATTTACTATCAACTCGAATCTTAAAATAATTTGATCTGACAAAATAGTATCTGATACAACTGGGCTTCCGAAAAACATCTTTTCCTTTCATCTTGGCCGCTTATTGGAGATGTGTGCAGTCCTGTAGGTGTCCCAAATGCAAGCTATTCATATGTATAGTACATTACAATCATCTAAAATTTTTACAATGCCCAGAGAGATAAATACTAAATACAGAATTTAAAGAATGTTCTACATGTTGCCCATAATATATTCAGAATACGAATTGTTCGCGACCTTTGAATTTCTCTCACATAGTCAAACATAGGAAATTACATTTTTTGACACTTTATAAATTTGTGGGATAATGAAGGTAAATGGAGATATTACTTATGCTCAAGTAATAAATATAGGTATTGGCATATTGAAGTAAGTTAGTCGATTGTTCTACATAGTGTTCCCCAAGCGCGTAAAATAAAATACCAAGACGAGTCTCGGTCATGCTTTCTTAGTATTGGTCTTGCGTAAGAGTCTCGCAGTTACCTATTAGCTTATTACTATAGAGATATTACTGTAATTTTTTAGATAGGAGAAACTTCAATAAGTCTGAATGAAAAATTAGAAGAGTTAAATGCAAAATTATATTGGTTATACCAATTCTATACATATAGTAACTAAAATTGTCAAGCATTACTAACTATTTTGCATTAATTTTTTTTTCTTCAAAAAAATCGATTTTCTTACTAGTCTTAGTCTTGGACTAGTGAGGCGGTCTTGGTCTTGATCAAAGTGCACCGATATCGGGCAACGCTAGTTCTACATCTCATGGGTGATAAATAGTCAGGACGGAGTCATTTATAAGGTTTTTATGAGCGCCAACGTTTCAACCCAGGCATGTCGGTCATCATCATATTATATTATTATACCATCATAGCAGAGTTTGAACACTCGAGTGCTCGAAACTCTCCAATATGATGTCCCACATTCTTGGATTGAAACGTCGGCACTAATAAGAACCTTAAAAATGACTGCATCCTGACTATTTATCACCCTTGATAGAATAGAATAGAATAGAAAAATAATTTTATTCTGCGACAAAGTCCCTTCAGAATAACAAAAAAGTACAGAAATTAAAATTTTACATCTGGCCAGATAAAAAGAAACATAACAAATTAAGATAATGATAGGTCATTAAAGAAAAGAAAAGAAAAAAATATTGGTTATACATACTATATACAAAATAAAATAAAAAAATCTATATAAAAAACTCTTGAAACCATATTAAGATACTTAAAACTATGTACAATGTTAAAATATAAATAAACCCTTTTAGAAAATATAAAAAATACAGAAAAAATAAATGTATATTCTTCTTAACAGTAAAATCTGTTTCTGTTGAAAAAGAAAAAAAAAAAAAAAAAAGAGAGAAAAAGAAAGTCGAATCTATAATAAGTATTCAGGTCATGAGCTATATGTGAATATGGTTTTATATATAATGTGTAATTTTACATAAAAGATTAGCTGGTGTCTGACTGTTTTTGGGACAGGAATTGGAATAGGAGGGTTTTGAATGTAGATAAGGATGAAGAATGTCAAATTTTGATAGGAAGGGAATTCCAGAAACTAACAGAACGTGCAATAAAGGAGTTTTGGAACGAGGCAGATCTGTGAGAAGGAATGTAAAGGTCGGAAGGTCGAGATCTTGTGGAGAGGGAGTGGATTGAGGAATTGAATTGGAGAAGGTTGTAGGCGTAGGAAGGACGATGATTGTTGATGATATGATAGATGAATGTACCTAGGAAATACTGTCTTCGAATGGAGGGGAAGAGCCACTCTAACTCAGTGTAATGGTGAGAGACATGGTAGTATCTCGGGGCACCAATTACAAATCTCACGCAACTGTTCATTATTCTTTTGTGGATACTTATGGATAACAAAAAATTAATCAAAGTTATTTATAAACCGTTGACCTACTTACCTTCTCCTTGGCCGAAGACTCATTACAGATCTGCCCCAGTAGATCGTGGGGCTTGACGAAGAGCCTGGAGGTGAGGAGGAAGGCGAAGAGGAAGGCCCGGTCCGGGTAGTAGTCGTTGGTGGGGACCATGTGCTGGATCAGTGCCTCCAGCCGCCCGCTCACCAGGTTACCCTCTCGGTAAACCACCGCCTGCAACATCAAAGAACGACATGTTCGTGAATAGATGTCTGTAAAGCAACAAACTAAAGGTTACCTATAACTCAATACAAAAATACAATATAAAACATACGAGTATTTAATCACTGCAAGTCTATGTCTCATATCTCCAAATAAATGTTAATAAGGAAGTTAGAAAACATTTTTTTTTTTAATATGTTTTAATGTTAGGTTATAATCGCGAAAATTCCAACAAGACTAAAATCCTGATAAATATATTAACCCTCCAACGATTTACTAATTCGGTAATTACAAGGACAAAAAACAATGCTAACCCAAGATCACATATCTTCATCACATCATCTTCTATATATATAAAAATGAATGTATGTCTGTCTGTCTATTTGTCCTCTGTGCATTACTAAACCATTCATCCGATAGCCAGGAAACTTTGGGAAGTTGAACCGTATTACACTGTATTTTAGATTCAAATTTATTTTACTAATTTTTTATTAAACATTAATGGCTTTGTCACGGTTGACAAAATTAAAAGATAATAATTTGAAAAAAAAAACAAAAGAAAAGAGGTGCTGGAATTATAAGTTTTTGGAGAGAGAGGGTACGGAGATCGAAGGTTGTAAAATAGAGTGAAAACGATCTTTGATTTTGTGATAAATTGTATTAATTATTTTTGGATAAAGCTGCTCCTATTGTGAATAAATTGACTTATTATGGATCCGTTATCAATTATTTAACATCACCTGAAAAGAAGAACTAGTCTGTAAGGAAAGACTCACTCTCCCTTCACTGGGCAAGCTCTTATTAATTATAATTATACAAATATAATTGTATCATTCCGTTAACAATTAAACAAACGTTACAGCTTTAATAGCCTAAAATAAAGTGTGAATATGAATAGATTTGCAGTTGAAACACTTAGGAAGGTGATGCATGAATCTCAAGTAATATACCACAATAATCGACTGGTAATTAATTTTAATGGATTAAAGCTGGACGTTTGATCTCCTGAAGCAAAAACCTGAGTGTCTATTACTAGTATAATATTCGTAGTCAGAATTTCGTAGGGTTTTTATCAATAATTAACGTGTTGATGGTGAAAAAAAAAATCTATGAAATACTAAATTTGCTGGCAATTTAACCCAGTTGAAAAGATCCACCGTGAGAAATAAAACTGTGTTTCGAATAAAAGATGGAAATTTCTCTTAAAATATCTATTAACGGTACATTTACCTTAGGTTCTATTTTTTTACACGCAGAGAAGAAAGGAAGGATCACAATATGAAGTTAAAATAAAATATTTAGTCATTTATTAAGAAGTATACTGGTAAAATTAAATCATAAAAATCCCACAATCACCATCAACATTTCGACATAAATATATTTTCCGTCCGACGAAAGTAATAAAAATGTCTACTGCCTGACTTTGTAAACAGGAGATGATGAAAGATAGAAAGAATAAAATCCATGTCATCAGCCTCCACACCACCGCCATGGATAACTTTACGGTTCTTGGAAAGGCTCGACGTCTTCCCTTGAAAATGTAATTTCTTTTTACGAAGAGGAAGAATGATAAAGAATAAGGAACTTCTTCCCCAGTTTCAACTTTACGGAAGATAAATGAATGAAGAAAAAAAAAATATTTTTCATACCTACAATGTAAAACAAAAGCAAATAAATAAAATCTTGAGGTGACCCATAACCTTGAGTGACTTAAATTAAATTAAAATTTTATTTTACATATAATCTTCCCTAACTTGTTCCAATTACTTAGGTTGTTCAAGGAAGTCCTGAGGTATATCAACTTTGGTCATGTCTCTTATTAGTCTGTTATTATGTCCATTTAAATTTGTGTAAAATCGTTGATAAAGGATCGTAATATGTTGGTCAACTGTTGGACGCTGGATGCCAGTATGTAGAGTTTTGTTAGTCACGTACCAAGCTGCTTTTGTTATGAGTCACAATAATTTTGATTGGAACGTTTGAAGTTTTTGTAGGTGGGTCTTTTTAGCGACGCCATATATTTGTGACGATTTCCTCCCATATGGGCTCAGTTTCTGTTTTAGTTTTAGTTTTGAAGATTTAGAAAAAAGAGAGTAAAGTAGTTTGAGTCATTTATTAAGTATCTTACGTTTCATTTTAACATGCGGACCCCATGTCATATCCTTCTGTCGAAGGAAATTTTTTCAAATTTTAGTTTTATAAATTAAACAATATTTTATTAGTGACAAAATTTACAAATATTTCTCCATTCGTGTGTTTTTTTTACTCTTTTTTTTACTACTACTGAATTCACGATTCGAAAAATGCTTCGTACGAACAATTAAGTGTGTGAGTGACCTATGTATTTTCTTCATTTATAAATTATTATTAATCACTATTTCACTATTTATTTATAACTAGATTTTATGTTTTAAATTTAATTATGGCTTATAGAAGGCTTATATTAAGTCATACATGATTAAAGTAACAAAAAAATTAATGATAGATCAATCTTAATAGATAAAATGAAATAGTTTCAAGGTAACTGTCAAAGAAACTTCATATTTCTTATATGATATGATGGACATTTATTCAGAATATATTATTTATTTAAATATATATTGGCCACTCAAAAAAAAAAATCAATAAATCCCCAATATCAGTACCTGGGAATGGTTAAACATTATCTCTAGGGTCCCCTGTACGATAGGGATCCTGGCAAAATCCTCCAGCAATTTATAACAGCCTATATCGAATGGATCACAAAAAGGCCTACGGAGCCTTTGATATTACCTTCCATCCATTCGTTAACCACCTATCAAAGGCACGTTGATATTGGATTTTATAAAAGGATTCACTCGTATCATAAACGTTTCGATATTATCTGGTCTGAAAAATAATATAACCATTTTCGCTGTTAAGACCTACATCGACATCACTGGGAACGAAGTGAAATTAGTAAATAGGGGATCAGGAATATTCAACATTAAATGAATACAGGAGGAGGAGAGAAGGCTCCATACTGTCGTTCATGATATTCTCGATATGTACCTTTAAAGATAATTTAATTAAATTATGTACTTGTGAACGACGTGGTCTCTGGTAAAGCTCCCTCTTATCTTGTCTTACGCCACCTTCGTATCTTAAGTTACGTCACATAACCTACCTTTTTATCTAGTTTAAGCTGTTGCGTGTGCGTTTATTGATTGGACTTATTTATTTAAATTTATTATTTGAACTTATTGATTGAAAATATTTACAAGACGGCGGAATAATTGCGAAGGTGAAATATTGTGATGAAGGTCATGAAATGAAGTTCGACGTGAAGACGAAATGGAGATAAGAGTTCTAATAAAGCGAATATACACTATATATAATACGTATAAACGTAAGCAACACCTCGATTCATATTTATGTGAATTTTTGTGGCGGCGGGCTCACAGAGAAGATTACTCGCTATTTTAAATAGAATTGAGCTATTTCCCATTCTAAAATAAATCAAATAAAAGTGTTTTGTTATTTATATTTATTATTATTTAATTACAATATTATTATTATATTTATATTTTTTCTAATTATATTTATATTTTTTCTTATTATATATATATATGTGTGTGTGTGTTGTAAAATAAAAGGGTTTTGTTATTATTAGATTACATTTTTTTAGTTTTTGTGTTTTTGAATTTCATATGAAGATATGGATTATCAGGGGCTAATCACAACTACCAGTGTTCAGGTTATAAGCATTGGTAGATAGCAGTCCATAGATACCACTTAAATTAATAAACAAAATTTTAAAACATCTCGTTTAAATATATTCCGTTTAGAGACTCTACAATACTATTTCGACACGACCATTCGAAGCAATTCCTGGAACACTCACTGAGAAACAGATCAATTTACATTACGTCTGTCATCAGTAAACTTTAACTTATTTTTCTTTCTTGTTCGGTTTACTAGAGGATTCCGATTATTGAGACCACCATGTTCTGTATAACATAGAATTATGCATACATCGAAAAAATATAGTTTCTAAAATGTTTGTTGTTGTAAAACTCCTGCAAGTTTCTCGAAATAATAGGAGTGCTAGGACTATTAGCCAAAGTAGCAGATCAAAATCAGAAGTTACTAAGCCGTTTTGCCTGTCCTCGTAGACAGGAAGAGACTAAGGGACTTATTGTTACAAGATTAGCAAGTTGTGATGAAGGATGTCGGAATCCCGTTCCAGAGGGTATCTCTGCCTAATTTCTCGGCCTTTCCGTCTATCTTACAAGAACCTTGTTTTTCGTAATTACGTTATTTTTGGACATTGTTGTTTTATATTCACACTTTACTACAATCAATAAAACAGGTACTTCAAAATCCAATGCACGCCCCACAGCTTCTACAATATCACTTAATTAAATTTCATGACTGGTGTAAACTGTGGAAAATTCGATTCAACCAAGACAAATCAAAACATGTTATTTTTACACTTAAACATAAAACTTGCCCTCCTATTTACCTCGACAATGTCTGAATTCCTCAGACAGATAAAATTCAATATCTTGGACTGGCATTCGATAGAAGAATAACATAAGATCCTCATATCAAGAACAAAACAAAAAACACTAAACCAAAAACTGCGACTGCTATATTTACTCCCATCAAGACATTTGAATTTAAAACGTAATAAAAAATTGAATACATACACTTACTTAAGCCCATTTGGACCTATGCTTCACAGATATACAGGACAGCCAAAAAGACTCACATACTTAAATTAAAGACATTTCAATAAAAAACTTTCAGGAATATCATCAAAAATATTATAAAAAATATATTTCTATGCGTTTACTACTAATACTATTATTCGTTTATGTTTAAAATTTTAACTTCTATATTGAAGTCTTCAGTAATGTTTTAAATCTCTGTAATAATGTAGTTTTGATTCATTACATATTATTCAGGGTATTTATATTTTGATTATCTTGAATAATTTTTGTTTTAAAGCCTACTCCATCTCTGCCAATTGTTTCAGTTATCTTCAAGAATCTCTATTA